AACCACAAATTACACCCAAACTCACAAAAGAAATAAATGTAGGTCATACAAATATTGCTCCCGGGCCGGGAATCGAACCTGGGACCTCTGCGTGGCAGTCCGGCATGGTAACCGTTCGACCACGGAGGCAGTTAACAAGTAAAGTAACAAGTTAAGTTAGTAACAGGTGACGAAAAATGGATTTATAGTTTCGATCCCAAAACAAAGCAGCAATCGAGCGTATGGGTCTTTCGAGGTGAGCCGAAACCAACCAATGTGGCGCGCATGCTAAGTGCCTCTAAGCGAATAATTGCTTCTTTTTTTAATAAATCTGGACACGTGCCTACTGTTGCTTTGGAGAATCGTTGTACCGTGAATAGTGATTGATACACGACCATTTGTTTGTCGGAAGTTATTGACAAACTCCGTAAAAATAACCGTAAACGCCGTATCATCTTGCACCACGATAAGACCAGTTCTCACACGGCCGGCCACACAGACTAAATGCATTTTTGAAGGTGAACAACGTTGACCTTATGATTTATTTGACATAGGTAGAAAAGTTAGCAACTATCATTACAGGACTAAACAATGATCTTATACACTTATGCGTACTAACCTAATGCAATAGAGTAGCCAAAAGTATCGATTGTTCAATATTACGATTACATTACTTTTATTTTGTTATATCAAGTGACGGGACGAACAAGTCGTGCGCCTGATGGTAATCTACACGCCTGTCCATAACAGTTCTGAGCTTTAAATCGGAAAGATCTGAGGGGCACTGCCACTGCGCCCACCACCCTGAGACGTAAGTTGACAAGTCCCATATGCCTATAATTTCACTAGCACCCTTTCCCTTCAAATCCGGAACACATTAATGGTGACATTACTGCTTGGCAACAGAAATAGGTAAGGTGGCAGTACTTCCCTGGACGAACTCTTTCACAAGGAGGTCTACTGCTACTTAAAAATTACTTATATTGTATTGTATCGAATTTAGTAGCAGTAGAGCTTGTGAAAGAGTTCGTCTAGGCTAGTACTCCCACCTTACCTATTTCTGCCGTCAAGCAGTAATGTTAGCATTACTGTGTTGCGCTTTGAAGGGTAAGGATGCTGGTGAAATTATAGGCACATGGGACTTATCAACTTATGTCTCAGGGTTAAGATTTAAAGCTCTAAATGGCCCTGCAACTACTATGTACAGGCGTGTCACTTAACACCAGACACATAACTTGTTCGTCCTATCACTAGGTACTATAAAAAAAATTATATTAACTTTTTTATAATTAATGATAAATTACAAATAAAGCTATTTTAGTGAACTCACACTGAGAACGAAAAAACGAATCAATTTCGTTATCTTCAATTTTAAAACCCAAAGTTACTATTAAAAGTTTATTGCTGTAATACAGTGCCAAGGTGGATATTTGAAGACGATAAGCCTATGTAGAATGTACGCAACCAATGCTGCAAAACAAGAAATTTTCTGTTTTATACCTACCTACTAACACACTGAAGAATAAAGCGGGAAACACATAGAGAGCTGGGTGGGACGTGGTCCCGACGCGACACGCGCCTGACCCGCACCCGCTTTATGTGTATTTCACGCTTAAATTTCATGGACAAGCCGTATTTTCTTGCTTAAACTTTGCCTAAGTTAACTTAAAATTATTATTGTTGCTCTTACCAATAGAGCAAATAATATAGAATAGAAAAAATATTCTTTATTGCACTCTGGGACAAATACATAAAAACACAAAAAAGACGTGTACAACAGTTGGCCTTATTGCTATATAACATCTCCTCCAGGGGGATAGTAATTAATCGAATACGCCACCCAACACGCATTTCAAAAAGTTTTTTCAATAGTAAATATATCCGACCGGATCGAAGGATTTTTTTCTGAGTGTTTTTTCTGAGTGTTCGATCTTTGTATTAATAATTATATTAAATATTTCAATAAGTTTTTTTCCACGAATTCGACTTCATTCAAGCTTAAGAATAAAACGCTTGGTACTGCTTACTCATATTGTTGATATACGTAACAGGTAGGAAAAAAGTAACAATGTTTCCATGTTTAATAAAGTGATTCAATGTTATTATTTTTGCAATTTTGTCACACGACTAACGATGTCACTATGTCACCAGTGATTACATCACTCGCTTTGGTAACGAAAGTAAACATCATGTGCAAACTCTTTACTATTATGTATAATGTAACAAACCTACTTTATGTCCTTAATGTTCACTTTTAGTTCACTAAGAATCCGCTAGATGGCATTCACCCATTTGGCGTTATTTCTGAATCGCGGTGTAAAGATTTTCCCTCGAATGGTGACTACTCGAATACAACTTTGTCAATGTGGACAGAAATCGGAGAATATTGAGAGCTTTGTTAGGCTAACCTGGAGTTGAGTCCCGTCTTGGGAACTGCTACCCGGACCTTCTGATATTGCGTACGCTCATATAGGGGGATATTCTATTGCCTAATCATCTCGTGGAACGGGGTTTCCGGGAGTCGCGTCCCTTCTTGTTAACAATGCCCGGACCTTCCACGTATAGGGTGAAATTGTATTGGCGTCATACAAGGTGAAAATAAATCTTTCTTCAACAACTTGGAGTTTTCACTTGGCTGGAGCTACGTAACCTCATCCCACGGTAGAGACTCCCTCCTCTACAATAATATACTTTTGCTGTTTTACTGACACGTTGTTTTGTGAAAATTAGCGGAAAAGGGCAATGTGCCTCCCGTTTACAAGTGTATAGAATCTATCCGTCATTACATATTGCATTGTAGACTCCTTTGTATATTACAAAATAAATGCACATTATTTTGACCTCCATCTAGCCCCGATTTTAAGGGGAGAGGGGAAAAACCAGGGCTCTTGCCCCGCCCCGGACGGACGGCCGCCTCAGGGGGCGACAAAATCAAAATATGTTCCACAAAGCGCCTAGCATCCAGCGCACGTTGTTCTATCGATTATTCATTTGATTTATGAACGTATCCTAATTCGATTTTTAAACGCTTGATTATCTTCCCTGGATATGTTTTTTATAATACTAAGCGACGGCACGAACAAGTCGTGCGCCTGGTGGTGAGCGACACGCTTATCCATTTGCAACACAACAGTGGCAGTGCCACGTATAGCTTTTAATCGCAAAGATCTTAGGGGTACTGCCACTGTGCCCATCACCCTGAGACGTAAGTTGACAAGTCCCATGTGCCTGTAATTTCGCCATCACCTTTACCCTTCAAAATCAAAACTCAGTAATAATGACCTTACTGCTTGGCGGCAGAAATAAGTAAGGTGACAGTACTTCCCTGGACGAATACTTTCACAAGAAGCTCTGCTGCTACTGCCATTATATTTTCTATATTTAATTTTATGTCACACAAATGAAAAAGTTATTAGTTAATAGCTATTAGCTTCTAATTTATTTCACCCTTTATATGTCTGTGAGGTTTTTTTAACAATTTATCTCAAACGCTGGAAAGTGGGAGCGCCACTATCAAGTTTCTTCTCTGATTCGAAAAAGTCGTAGATCCCGCGCTGCCTCCATATCATTTGATGGAAACCTAATACACACATAATGCCCACTCGATATCACGTTTCCGGTGTCCGATAACAATCGCTACAGACCGAAATTGGTACTGCGAATCGAAATTATTTAATAAATTAGCAAAATAGATAACTTATTCGTAAAGATCCATACATCACCAATCCCGGAGCCAAAAAATAAATAGACCATACAGATTCTAAAAAGCCACCTTAATTTGTACTTGCAATAGTGCTAATTAAGTTAAAAGAAGTGGTAGTAGTTATAATCGTACCTAAATAGACTACGTTAATCAATAAAAGTAAATAACTTACGATACCAGTGGCGGATTTGCCCTAAAGCCCAAAAAATTTTCTTACAAAAAATTCACTTATGATGACAAGAAATAACTCAAAGTACCTAAATATTCTAAATCTAAAGACTCTTGCACATTATGGCGGGCCGCAATGCACCGCATCGTATAACAATAATCTTCCTAAATCACTTTCGTACATTTTATGTATAAAATATAGATATGTTACATATTATCTATAATGTAATGTATAATCACTACGTCACTACATATTATCACTACCGCGTCTGCTGTCTGCTGATCGCGACAAACTCAAAAGCTACTGAACGGATTTTCATGCGGTTTCCACCGATAGACAGAGTGATTCATGAAAAAGGTTTCATTATATAATTTACTTGGGTTTTGTGTAAGTTGGCTGAAATATATCGGAAAAAATCATGCCAGCTGGGCGCTTTATTGGCGTGCGCCCCGTAAACAACAAAAGTTGTAGAAAAATATTAAATAGTAAATTTCTGAATCGATTTCGACAAAAGTTGGCAGTAAATTCATTATGTAGTCTACCAGTACATGATGAATGCTGAGAAAGGGGCGGCTGGTATTGATTACATGGCCTGGGGCCTAGGAAGGCCCACACTACAAATCCGCCACGGTATGGCACACATTTCCTGTCGCAGGTTTTATTAATGTCAACTATTACATCTGGGTAATACGCGATATCCGCGACATAGCGAAACTTTCTTAAGGGTCTAAACAACCTCAAATGGCTTTGGTTGATTCAGCATAACCATGAAAATGTTGAATCAATCACTTCGGAAAAATATATAGTAAAATTGAGAATATACACTGATTACTATACGGTGTGAAAACGAGATTCCTGAAAATTTTCACGATAGAAAAAATAACATAATCGTTCCTCGAACCGTTACAAGAAAACCGCTGTATTCAATAAGTACTTTACATATACCAATGATTTTTTTTTATATCAACTGAACTAAATAGAACACGCATAATACGATATACATTTTTCAAATGGTTTTAATTTGTTTGTAAAAAATAAATTCTGAAATAAAACCAATATCCCTGCCACTCGACCCAAATTATTACTTTATTTTTCGTTATTGTTATTTCGTTATTATTATTGTTGTGACACATTTTTCTTTTTTTACAGCATCACTATTATCAACCACTATGGACATTGGTAGGCGCAGGAGTGAAAAAAATTGAAGCTACGCGGAGAAACATGAAAAGCGTTTTACCATCCGGACCCCTCTGGTTGAAAGACTCTGCAGTCTCTATAGACCCGGTCAACTGCAAGGTGACTACGGCACTAGACGACATTATCAATTATGAATATCTCGTCGTTGCTGTTGGCTTGAAGAATGATTATGAAAAGGTATGTCATCATTATCACCCACTGCTCCCGAAGTTTGTGTCATCCACCACCCGACAGTTCTTTTGCTCATCCTCGGCTACCAATCAATCGACGGCTTGCTCCACTTGTCATCACTTTGCCTTGCTATGTGTTTCGCCCAACCCCATTTGCGTTCCATGATCCGAATTCCAGCATCCTGGAGTAAGTTTAGTATATATATAATTTTAAGTAACGGGACTGACAAGTCGTGCGCCTGATTGTAAGCTACACGCCTATCCATAAGTTGCAGTGCCACTCAGAGCTTCAAATCGCAAAGATCTGAGGTGCACTGCCACTGCGCCCTTTACCTTGAGACATAAGTTGACAAGTGGCTGTAATTTCATCAGCACCCTTAGCCTTCAAAACCGGAACACAGTAATGCTGACATTACTGCTTGGCGGCAGAATTAGGTAAGGTGGCAGTACTATCCTGGACGAACAATTTCACAAGGAGCTCTACTGCTACTAAATGCTTGATGTGCTGTTGACTCTACATCTACAAAAAAATGGTGCTCTTGTCAAGCACGGGGGGCCAGATGCCTGAAGAATCTTTCAAGAGAAAGAAAGAAAGAAAGAAACATTTATTAAGAGATTAACATTCTTACACTAACGCTCGGTACATTTATGAAATGAATAGTACTTTCTTATGAAAAATAATGACAGACATAACATTAATACGAGGAAAAAATAAACTAGTTGTTCTTGGCAGTCATTTTCACAAAGTCTCAAATTCATTTAAAAGGCAATATTCTATAATAAGATTCCGGATGAAATTCAAAATTTGCCATTTACAAGCATTGGCGGATTTGCCCTAAGGCCGAATAGGCCCGGGCCTAGAGCGGCCAATCGTGTCAAAAAATTCACTGCTAATAACAAGAAATAACTCATGAATATTCTAAAGGCTCATGCACATTATGGCGGGCCCCAATGCGCCTCATCGTATAACAATAATCTTCCTAAATCACTTTTGTACATTTTATATTTAAAATATAGATATGTTATATGTATATCTATAATGTAATGTATTACTACATCACTACGTATTATCGCTACCGCGTCTGTCTGTCTATCTGTCTGATCGCGATAAACTCAAAAACTACTGAACGGATTTTCATGCGGTTTCCACCAATAGACAGAGTGATTCACGAGGAAGGTGCATGATTTATTAGTTTTTGTGTAAGTTGGCTGAAATATGAGGATAAATGTTGAAGACGTCGGAAAGAATCACGCTGGCGCTTTTTTTATGCGTCCCGTAAACTAACAGAGAAATATTGTCCAGAAAAATATTGAAAATATTCAATGGTAACTTTCTGAATCGATTTCAATAAAAGTTGACAATAAAGTAAATTAATTATGTAGTCTACCAGTATATGATGAGTGCTGAGGAAGGGGCGGCTGGTACTGACTACATGGCCTGGGGCCAAGGCCGGCCAAGGCTCCAAATCCGCCACTGTTTACAAGACTTGAAACTATAGTGAAACAAAAACTTTATTCTAAATGTTATTATACAGCTTCTGCGTGTAATCCGTGGTCGTGACCCGTTTAGCTCTTGCAAGGTTTTCTCGATCCAAAATGTTTGAAATAAATATTGTAAATGATAATAATTGTATTTTTTATTATTATTATTCAAATTTACAAAGAGCAACCCCTAAAGTTTCATGTTCGTTCTTCTCAGAAGAATCTGCTTTACGAATGAGCAGTAGAGTTGAAACAATATGACGATTTCAAGTATAATTTTCTTACATATGAAAAAAAGATGTTTTGCGTTAGCACCTGCCAGAATCTAGATAAAATTACCAATCGGCACATCAAGCTTAGCATGAAACATTTTCAGGATGCTGATTTAGGGCTTGAACGCAGTCTCGAGCTACGCCTACATATGTCTTATTTGTTCTTTTCTGTCTTACTAATGAGTGGTAGTCCTTAATCAAGTTTCTTACGTAAGAAATAAAAGGATTTTGGTTCTTTTTCGATAATAATAATAATGCGCACACACTCATAGCCCTGCACTAGGGAAACCTTGTTTCGCATGAACACACACATAGACAACCACAAATTACACTCAAACTCACGAGAGAAATAAATATAGGCCATACAAATATTTCTCCCGGCACGGGAATCGAAACTCTGCGTGGCAGTCCGGCATGGTAACCGTTCCGCCATGGATGCAGTTAATAATTCGATACAAGTGTATTGATACAGATAAGTTGTTTAACCGATCGTTTTTGGTTTCATTAATCAGTACGATAATGCATTATAATTCATTATTATTTATTAATATATAATTGTATATTAGACGTTATGTCCGCTCATGTTTATTGTTCAACGAATTTGAAAATCAAGAGTTAACCTCTGAAAGAATATTAACAATTACCGACAAAATGGTATTACGTACATACTCGTACGTAAAATGCACTGGACGTGTATTCAATTCAAATTCAATAAAGAAACCGCCTACGTGGCCGAACGGTTATTAAACTGTACATATTAAGCATGATAGCTGTACTGCGTCGCAGAGTCCCGGGCTCGGTTCCCGGGCCGGGAGAAATATTTGTATATTTATTTCTCCCGTGAGTTTGAGTGTAATTTGTGCTTGTCTGTGTGTGAGTCCACGCCACACCGAATATGGGGCTTCCCTAGTGCGAGGCTATTAGTGTGTGCGTTATTATTATTATTTTATAATAATATTATAACAATCAGTCAAGCAACTTATAGGTAACAATACGTTTTTATCAGAACAAACAACAACAAACCCCTTAATTTCTTATATAAGAAATTTGATTAAAGACAGAAAAGAACAAGTAAGAAACTAATTGATTTTTAATTCGGGACATAATTACGTATAAAACATATTTGTTCCCTTCGAGACCATGGACGTTGCAATATGTCCGAAACGTCGAGGTAAATAAAGTATGTCTTATACGTGATTAAGTCCCGAATTAAAAATCAAATGATGTTTGAAAATCCCGAAAGTTTAAATCAAAGCAAGAAACTAGAATTGAAACGAAACGACGTAAAAACATACAAGCTTCAGAAGATCGGACCATGTTAAATAGCATCTCTAAACTTTTGTCAGAGGAAATACAGAGATCAAAAGAGTTGGGTACACGAATTTTTGTAGCAGTAGAGCTCATTGTGGAAGTGTTCATCCAAGAAAGTGCTGCCACCTTGCCTACTATTGGTGGTAGAGCAGTAATTTGAGCATTACTGTTTTTCGATTTTTAAAGTAAGGGTGCTGGTGAAATTACAGGCACATGGGACTTTTCAACTTCTCGTGGTGACGAGCGCAGTGGCAGTGCCTTTCAGATCTTTAAGATTTAAAGCTCTGAATGGCACTGCAACTGTCATGGACAGGTGTCGCTTACTACCAGGCACGACTTATTCGTCCAGTCACTTGGTGTCATAAAAAAAAATCATTTCTGCTTTCAGATTCCAGGCTTACTTCACGCATTAGAAAACTCAAACGTGTCTCAAGTGTCAACGATATACGACTCAAAATACGCAGAGAATACGTTCACCCTATTCCAGAAATTCAAGGGTGGCGAAGCTGTGTTCACCTACCCCGATTCGACAATCAAATGCCCTGGAGCCCCACAAAAGATAGCCTATTTAGCGGATTCTTATTTTACTAAGGTAATTTTATACAGAGTTCTTTGGCTTCGCAATCAATTTTCAAACAAACCGCACGCGGAGACCGCGTTGCCGACGCGCAGCGACCGCGTGCATCTAACTAAAGTACGATCTATTTATTTAGCTTTTACGTTTTTTTTTGTCTATCCGGCAACCGCGCGGTTGTATGATCCAGAGGAATTTAAATGCTGTTGCATAGTAAATAGAAATCAGATTCGCCATTAATGTACGTGAACGCGTGGTAACTGAGCGGTCGGAAAACTTTCGCGTCGTGTAACAGGGCGCTTACTTAGTTTTTCACGTTCAGAAGTTTGAAATTGTAGTTTCCATCATGTGTTAAAATGTAGACTTGTTTTAATTTGTACTTACAGAAAGGAGTGCGTTCAAAGGCAAATATCACATACAATACAGCGCTGCCGGTGATATTTGGCGTGAAGAAGTACGCTGACGCGTTACTCAAAGTGGTTGAACGCAAGCGCATCAACGTTGGATATCGATCGGTGTTGAGAGAAGTGAGGGGACCAAACCATGAAGCCGTTTTCGATGTTTTTTCCGGCAACGACCCTAACCCTAAGGTATGGAAATTTACGACCTTTAAAATGGGTAATTTTATACAATTATTTTTAAAATACTAACATCAATAAACAACAACTTTAGTTCCACAACTATTTACAAAACTTAACCAAAAATAAACTTTTAAGTTTTTGAGGTACTATCGGACACTTTTATATCTCTATTTGTTAGTAAATTCTAACCTAGTGTCTCCGATGACACCCCCGTGCGTTTAGCATCAGACTGGTATCATTAGCGCTTTCTTTTGTTACCGCACAGCGTTATCAACGTTTAAAGCGATCTATTTAATAGTTATTTGTTATGCAAGGCTGCAAAGTTGTTGTTTGACGCGAGTGCTTGAAAACGCGGGTGTGAGATTGAAAATAGTTTCCTAAGCGTAGCAAAGGTTTCAAGACACGAGACTCAAAACAACTTTGCGGACGAGCAAAACACACAACTTCTCACATCACTATAGCGAGGAAAATGGTAGATGAAAGAAAAACAGTTGAACTATAAAACATCAGTTTTTTTTTAAATAAAAGAAAAAGTTTACCTTCGGATGCGATCCGAATTTACACCTCATCAATTTTTATTCTTTATTGTACTTTTATTTTGTGTATTTAAATGTATTGTCATTATTTTAGTTCCTCGACGAATTAAAATAATTTAATAAACGCAATTAGTTATTGTATATATATTGTCAATTTAATGTCAACAATAATAAGAATAAAATATACCAACGGATTTATATTACTATGTGGGGTGCACTGTAAGTTTCCGGAATGAATAAGAAAAAAATACTATAAATGGTCAGAAATGAATTTATTGTTTCTCAAAATATTCTTTCTCCGTTAGCGTTAATGCACTTTTTCATACGAATGAACCAATTTTGATAACATTTATTCCACTCCTCCGTGACAATCTCTGAAACATTGTTATCATATTCTTCGACAGCCTCTTCAGGTGATGAAAATAGTTGACTGCGTAACTGGTTCTTAATTTTTGGAAATAAATAAAAGTCACAAGGTGTCAGGTCGGGACTGTGCGCGGGATGGCTCATAAGTTCAACGTTGTTCACCTTCAAAAATCCATTTATCTGTCTGGCCGTGTGAGAACTGGCATTATCTTGGTGCAAGATGATACGGCGTTTATGGTTATTTTTACGGAGTTTGTCAATAACTTCCGGCAAACAAATGGTCGTGTACCAATCACTATTCACGGTACAATGATTCTCCAAAGCAACAGTAGGCACGTGTCCAGTTTTATTAAAAAAAGAAGCACTCATCCGCTTAGAGACATTTTGCACGCGCGGCACTTTGGTCGGTTTCGGCTCATTTCGAAAAACTCATACGCTCGAGTGCTGCTTTGTTTTGGGATCGTACCTATAAATCCATGTTTCGTCACCTGTTACTATGGCTCACGCCAAATTTGACGCCTTTTTTTAATCTGGTAAGCATGTCATTGCACCAAGTGATGCGATACGTTTTTTGAACCTCAGTCAAATTGTGTGGGATCCACCGAGAGCACAGCTTTTTCACACCCAAATGTTTGTGTAGTATTGTTTATATTTGACTCATGCCTATTCTTAAAGACTCCCGAATCTCATGGTATGTCTGTCTGTTTTGATTATACGGCGCACAGCATCGATGTTTTTGTTGTTCACAGCAGTGGATGGGCGACCATCACAAAATTCGTCACTGAGATTCACACGACCACGTTTGAATTCTGCAAACCAGCTATAAATTGTCGTCTTGCATGGTGCTTCATCGCCAAAAGCAGTTTGCAGCCGAACGAAGCTCCGCTGAGTTGTTAAATTACACTTAAAGTCGTAGAAAATCATACTACGAAAATTTTCACGAGTTAAATCCATAGTGATGTAGACAACCATTTTCTAAAATGACGCCACAATGTAAAAACAAGTGACAGTCAGATGAAACAAACTATATTCTACAGCCAAAGAGTTCTATTTTCAAATGTTGTAATAACTTTTTGAATATTGTTTATGTAAGTGGCCAGTTCCGGAAACTTATAGTGTGTCCTATGTATAAGTAATGTGCGACCAATCGTGTAGTTGAACGTGGCATTTTCTTCTTTTTTTTTATCAAAAGAAAATCATAGATGTACCATAGTCCATCGCCAGGTTACAATTTTAAAAACCAGAAAAAAGCCTTTCTGGGGTGAAAATAATATTTTGTTCATTATTTTTGGAGGAGAGTAAAATCTGATGAATAAATAGAAGTCATGGAACAAAGTCGTTGTTTATAATGTTAGTAATACAGTCTAGTTGTTAGTTATATATTTATTTTCTCTCACATCAGTTAAGTACATAGTAACAGTATAGAGTTTCAATGTCCAATTGTTACCTTTATATATTACCTTTGTATGTGTGCTTAGATGTGTGTTGATCGTGTTCGATCGAATCAAAATGATTCGAATAGCACCTGTGACCCGACAACCCGGTTACTAGCCTCTAAATAATCCGATCATTTTAAAGTTCATGGGTCATGCGCGCAATATTCGACGTTATCTGTATAATTTTAGAGATTATTCAGCAATACACAATTTATTGTAGTCTCATTCACTCACGTGAAGTCCTCACTCACGAGTCACTATTAAACGCCATATTGAAGTATCATGAGGGACGGGTGACCCGCTAATATATCGAACATATGATCGAATCATTTGACCCGATCGCACTACGCATGGGTCATGATCGAGCCGGGTTGTCAAAAATGATCGACCGACACAGGTCTATGTGTGCTATAGTACCGGCACGTTTTGCGCGTTAACGTTTATCCGCTTATCAATTTCGTATTAATTCATAACTACGTTGAACGAGCTAATTGCTGTGAATAGTGACGTGCAGTAACATTTATGGATGCATAATTTTACGACACAACTCGGCATTTGCTTTTCGAAATTAGAAACTTTTAAAAATGAAATCTCATGCGATCGTCACTTATGGGATCGCTGGCCAGCACAACTTCTGCCTCCGGCAATCTCGCGTCAAAACTCAATGCAAAATAGTTTCGAATTGACGACATATTAGGTAAACATTTTTATTTTCGTTTTATTAAAATTTTGAATCAGCTACCCCTTGCAATACTAGTTATAAATCAAAAAACTTATAGATGTGACTCGCATTTGATTATATTTTTTTCGATAATGAATTCAGATTTGACCTCACTTTTGTAATCTGTCAAAACGGCCATCATGGCGTGCGTACTGTGTCACAATGCCACTGAATGAAAAAACTGTTTGTTTTTTGCATTAACTTTTTAAGCCCTTTTACCTTTGTAATTGTTTATATTTCAGAGTTTGATGATGAAGTACGATATGCTCCACGTGACACCGCACATGTCGCCTCCTTCGTTCCTGAAAGCAAACTCCGAGCTGGTGGACTCGACTGGGTACCTCGACGTGGACAAAAGCACCCTCCAACACACTCGCCATCCTAACATATTTGGCATAGGAGACTGCACCAATACACCTAATAGCAAGACTGCTGCGGCCATCGGTGGGTTAAGTGTTATTTTTTAACTGACTTCAAAAAAAAGAGGAGGTTATGCGTTCGGCCGTATATATGTTTTAAGTATGTTGTCCGATTTCTCCGTCAATTGTAGACCGATTTAAAAAATTCTTTTTTGCTTGAAAGGGTGCACTCTCGTGGTGGTCCCATTGTCACCAAGTCATAATCTGATGAGGAGATCCCATTGAAATCGAGGAAAAGCCTCAAATTATAATTGTGGACCGATATTGAAAATACTTTTGTTTGAAAGAGATTCTCTCGAGGTGCTGACGATGCTCTTCCGAATTCATTTCGGCTATCACAAATTAAAAAAATATTTTCCGCAAATAAAAGCTACTTTTCACTTGACACAATACATGTAATCAACAAAACACCGTCACCGTAACAACCTGAAAAAAGTATAAAATGTACAATGGAGTCCGTAATAGTCCCATGTCACCAAGAAGTCAAAATCTGATATCTTATGGAAATCGAAAAAAGTCGATAATCAAATTTTTGAGGTACGTTTTGTTTAACAATGAAAAAATTATTACACCCTATTATATTGTCTCCAGCGAAGCAATGCTACGTGCTCGAGAAGAACCTGACGAACTATATGGAGCACCTGCCTTTAACCGCTCAATACGATGGCTACGGCGCGTGTCCACTCGTTACCTCATACAGGACATGCATTGTAGCCGAATTCCTGTACGGGGGGATAGTCCGTGAAACCTTGCCGTTCAATCAGGTATTTTACTATTTACCAATTAGTTTTAGGGTACAACAAACTGATGGAAGGTGGTTACTTCTGCCTATAAATACTAGTGTTTGCAACGGTAACCAAGTGTCTTTAGTAATAGAATTATATCTATTATATATTCCCCATACTGTCCCATTAAAAAAAACACACTGTATATCTCAATAGCTAAGTGCATTTTTCTATAAAATATATATAAAATTTCTTTTCCAGGCACGAGAATCTATTATCGCGTATTACATGAAAAAGGACCTCTTCCCGTTTCTCTATTGGAATTTCCACGTTAAGGGAAGGTATCATGGTCCTGAATTCGTAAGAAAAATCATTAATCCCTTTGGCTGGAATTGAGCTCTCTTGGCGTTAAATTTTAATTTGGTTAAGTTGGTGCATGGTCTAAGTAAGAGCAACTGTACCACAACGATACGATTACGGTACGATTTTTAATTTATTATATTTATTACGATGAATCCTGAATTTAAATACTAAAACTAAACGTCCACTGCCCGCAAGAAACAAGTTTTTTTTTCTGTTAACACCGAAAGATACATACGATACATAAGATACGTCACAATAAAACTATATCCGGTTTAATACAATATATTTGTGTAAATAATAAGTTCGCTTAATACAAAAACAGACTGTGTTGTGCCCCCTTTGCACCTTTCACTCCATCCTGCTGCAATAAACTAAGATATTGTAGCTCTCAGTGGCTATCGTCTAGGTCCGGAATTTATGGAGGTAGAGAATCGCTCAGGGTAGAACTAAAGTCGCAAATTCCAGGCTTTCATGCCCTAAACGTACAGCAAACCTGAAAACTGTAAAGTAGTTGGCTGGTGACAAACAAAATAGGATATAATAGAAAGAAGTTATTGTTTATCGTTCTCGTAAAGTCGTTTGATTCGTATCAAGAAGCGTGCCGAACTCACAATATTCTCAGCCTTGTTGATTATATGACATTGTGAATGGTCAGATCGATTGTGCGGAGCTCGTAACTGGTATAACATGCCGCACCGCACACATAACACGCCCTTATTTTACATACCACCATGCTCGACAAACCATGGTATGAACAGTTCGCTGACTCGTCTTGGTAAACTGTTTTAGTGAACACGATGTTTTGTGTCAATCTAAGGCAATAGAAATCATTAATTAGTGCGCGTGAGCAATATCAGTGAACGGTCCTATATTTACTTACTTTTTTTGAATATATTGATAAAGAAATGGTTTAAATTTAAATTTAAAGCTATACATACATATATAAATAGTTTTATATTTCAATTTATAATAATTTATACAAAAATAACTGCCTCTGTGACCGTGAACGGTTACCATGCCAGACTGCCACGCAGAGGTGCCATGTTCGATTCCCGGGCCGGGAGAAATATTTGTATGGCCTACATTTATTTCTCTCGTGGGTTTGGGTGTAAGTTGTGGTTGTCTATGTGAGTGTCCATGGACCCGCGACACAGGATTTCCCTAGTGCGGAGCTATGTTGAGTGTGTGCGTTATTATTATTATTATAATTATACGCGCACACACACACACACACACACACACACACACACACACACACACCAAATTTTATTCTAGAAAACCTGTTCTAGCTATACTATTGTAAGTTTTACTTTGTATATTTATGATATTGTAAACACTGTCGGTTTTCTATTAAAATAAAATTAAACAGATTATAAATACAATATACCATTTCGTACTACACTAGTGGACATAATTTACAAAATGTAAACCTAATTATTTACATTAAAACATAGAACATCGTATTCTGAAACGAGTTATGTAAAAATAAACTTATTTACAACAAAAATGTAATTTGTGTCCTGTCGTTATAAAGGGAACTGATTTAATTGACGGCTTTTTCCCTTTTTTTCCAAAAAATTCTATTTTTAAAGATCTGCAGTGAATTACACTATCTTTTTCCATCTATTAAAAGAGGTGCTCATACTAACTAAATATAGTTGTGGTAAAACTTGTGCTAGTAAAAACAACATAACTGTTTGTTACACAAGGAATGTACTTGCGCAGAGCGACGTAGGGGTTTTCGCGGGAATGTGGGAGTCGCGGTCCGCATCCCACAAACATGCTTAATTTGTGAGATCGAGCGCTAAGGCTCAGCGCACACTGGCGCAAAGTCAAAGTGTCGCGTCGCGTCCTGTTTTTGGCGCGACGACACTCGCTTTAGTGCGCCCAGATCACAGTGTGATCGGCGTCTGAAGTCTCACTGCGCCCAAGTAACGCGCGTCGACGCGCGAAGCCGCTCGACTGCAGCCAAGCGTCCTTGCACACTTGCATAACACAAATTTGTACCTTAATATGGGAAAATAGAGATGAATATGCTAATAAGCATAAAACATGACGCGTCGCGACGCTTCGACTCGGCGCCAGTGTGAATTGAGCTTAAGGGTAGACGCATGCGTGATTTAATTTGAAAATAGAACATACCAATGTCAAGTAACTAATGGTGCGTGGCAACTAACGTTACCTGTATGTGGAACCGGTATTAATGCTGTACTTCTTGTTTCTTGACTAGGGACAAAAAGTTTTTTATAATATCGAAATTAAGAGATTGTAGTTTGAAAAAGACTGTGATTAAAGAAGTGATAGTTTCTCAAAGGAAATTTACTAATTTTAGTGGTATAGATTAATTTTAAAAAAAATATGTAGATCATGTATATTTATAACAGTACAAAGTAGAATTCAGTTTCTTTGGCGGGTTTGTTAAAGTTTCAAATAATTGTTTATTTTCTATCAGCAAAGTTGACGCGTTACTACTTCAAGGGTAATTTTTGCATGCAGGCAACGACGGGTCAGTAGATGCCATCTGCAGCTAACAGTTCTTGTCAACCGACGACGTTTAAGGACTAGATATAAATATTTATTATAAACAAAGAGTTTATTATTCATGATAAAGGTATAAAAACAATACTATTTCAAAACTTTGCTGACAGTATATCTCATATATTTTCGATGTGTATGGGTATTGACACAAAATTTTACTTAAGATTATTATAGTAAAACTTAGTTTTTCTTAGTATCTTTAGATTCTATTTACAAAATCTTTTACAATTGATAATAGAGCATTTTTGCTCAAGTGCAAATATTATTGACTTGATGTATTTGTAGTAGTTTTCGCGAGGGTACATTTACTGCGCAACACGTCATTTGCACAACAACATATATATATATTCGCAATTGAGTTATTCGAATGAGTTGGGTTCGTCTTTCAACAATTGTGCGTTGTTGAGAGACATGTTCGGCGATGTTACGCGACAAGGTTCCCTGGTGAAATCTAAACTCGTCGTGTTTATTTTGTTAAGAACGTTTAGAGGATTTATGTGTCATTTTAGATTACTTATTATGTTAATTATATATTACTTATTTTTATGTAAAATCTTTTTTATTTGCAATATACTTGTTTTTGAAAATATGTTTTTTATTATTATTATTAATTTGCATCCTCGCAATGTTTGTTCACGAACAAACAAACGTCTTTGTCTTTTAAATATATAAAAAAAAAACCGCTTTGATGTTAGTCATCTTCTTCAAAGCATGAGGTATCAATTCATAGAAATCAATTTAGTACACACTTTAAAAAATAGATGGCGACACTTGGATAAAATAAATTTCGAAAATTGAGCTATGTTATACTAAATAAGAAGTATAAAATATAATTATCTGTGTTTAAAGAGTTATAGCTTTATCGATACAATCGGTAATTCCGCCAATGCCAAGTTATGGAAGACACGCGTTTATTACTCAAAATTTGTTCGGTGAACTTCGGCAATAAACTTCGCAGACTATTATAGAAACAAATTATTATTTTAATGAGATCAGGGGCCTTACCATAGGTATAACTAAAAATATTGAAAATTAACTCTTTCTCGGTTACAAATTGTGTGGCCCGTTCACAATGGCTGACAAAAGCCGTAATTCTTCATCGTTATCAGTGAACCACCGAAGTTTCTGAAGTAACCGATATCTCAAAGTCAACATACCAGTGTCCACTAGTGACTGGTCAGCTTTTACGTCAAAACATCGGAACTATAAGGTTCAATTTAGATTGCGGCAGAACGGAATAGAACAGAAGCATCAATTTCACCTCGTAAGGCGCACGCGGTCGCTGGAATACTCGAGATTTCGCGAGCTTTTTCGCGACTGCACCTTGAGGCTGTGGTATTTTGCCGACGTTTGACGTCACACGCTGGGCCTGCGAAATTGACTTCTTGCATAGCTCCAAAATGCTTTTTACACAATTGACCATAAAATTCATTATGCTACGTAGAATGTCGCTACAAAAATTCGCTTCCTTTCCATTCCACCGCATTATAAATTGAACCTAATTCTGTAATGAAGTTACGAATCCGCGCCCAGTTAACACTAGGCGAAAACTTTCAGCCTAGTTACCACGCCTTCATGTACATTAATGGCGACTCTGATTTAAGTCTTAACATAAGAGGAACACACATTTAAGTTAAAACGTAAAGGCTAAACAAATAGAGCTTATTTTGCCGTGACAGTTAGACGCACGCGGTCGCTGCGCGGTGGCAACGCGGACTCCTCTCGGCGACCGCGCGGGGTGGGCACGATGAATGCGCCCTTACAGTTTCGCTACTCTTGAACGATTTCATTATAAAAAACATACAAACATTTATCAGTAGCAAGTCACTCAAAATCGAGTAGGCTTCGCCACTATCAACGATCTTGTCAAAATGCTTGTCATATTTTCAAAACCACGAGATAAATTTGAAGTTACAACACAGGTGAACACAACAGATTGAAGTAAATTCCAAGTGAAGCAGTCAAATGTTATTTCAAATAGACTTTTCAATCTTTCGATGGCGTTGAGAAGAACAACCTCGTTCCGAAGAATATGGAGTAATGGACATAAAAGTGCAAGACTGTATTCTGAAAGCCACGCCTGCATTAAAACTCATTGGTGCGACTAGTTTCCTTTGTAACGAACATCACCTGTTGTGAACCAACCGACTCCTTCATCAACGATAACTGAACCCGATATATTTTATAGATATATATATGTATAGAACCAGTAGATAGATTGAGCTCCTTGTGGAAGACTTTGTCAAGGGAAGTACTACCACCTTAACTATTTCTGCCGCCAAGCTGTAATGTGAGCTGTTGTTCCGGTTTTGAAGGGTAAGGGTGCTGGTGAAATTACTGGCACATGGTACTTGTACGATGCAATATCGTACATTGTGTTTATGCGGCATTTTACGTATTCATGCGACAGTTAGTCGTAATTTATATTTAGTTCACAATCAGCCATCACGCAGTGTACTCATTATATTGTAAATCAAAATGAATAAACATTTTTAACTGTTATCATACTATCATTTATAAGTGTATGGAACACCGTACATCTTTATGGTCCTTCGAGCCTTCAACTGTCGACTTAATAAATCGGGACAGCAGAAGTTAATCAAATTTAATAAAAAGTTTTTTCTTACAAAATAAAATACTCAGTCATCTGTGCCTATAATTAATTAAACACGTGTAGCAAGCATTCCATTACAATGTTCATTCGAACAATTACGGAATTGTCCAAACTTGGCCACACTATTGTATCATATTATTATTTTTTATAATACTAAGAAGTGAAGGGACGAACAAGTCGTGCACCTGGTTGTAAGCGACACGCCTGTCCATAATATGTGCAGTGCCACTCAGAGCTTTAAATCCTTTTTGCAAAGATTTGAGGGGCACTGCCACTGCGCCCGCCACCCGCAGACATGTCTAGTCTCATGTGCCTGTAATTTCACCAGCACCCTTACACATTCATTGCATTACATGGTTAATATAAAAGTTCTTAAAGGGACGGAACTTCAAAACGGCAACACAGCTGCTGACATTACTGCTTGGCGGCAGAAATAGATAAGGTTCCAGTACTACCCTGGACGAATTCTTTGACAAGGAGCTCTACTGCTATTAACTGCTACACATTTTTTATTTATTATCGAGTTTTCATGTGTTTACGACAGCTACATACGAAACTATTTTTTTCCCTCTTTTTTTATTATTTTACTCGTCTTTTTATTGTAATTTGATGTTAATAGAAAAGGGACGGAGCTCAAAAAAAATCCTACATATAGTTTCCGAGTCTTGGATTCCATCTTTTGTCTCGTCCCTTGAATAAATAAAAACATTACATTAGAAAATACAGTAATTGCAGGTGTAAGCTGCTCATTGTGGGCGGCGGCACGGGCGGTTGCAGTGTTGCTTGGCGGTTTGCCAATAAGGTACCTCCCAAGGAAATCATTGTCGTCGAACCTTCTTCTGTGAGCATCATTTTCATTTCAATTTATAAATAGATGTGTAATTTAAAAGAATGCATGAGGCATTCTAAGGAGTCCAAAACAGCGCCCAGATCGCCTTAACACCGTTCCAAATTTGCCCACGAAAAACTGCCATAATTCTGAAGCTAGAGAACATCGTAAATTAATGAATGAAAATTCTTAGGTAAGCCGATATCGTCCACTCTCCCCCACCCAATATGCACCCTTTGTCTCTAATTAAAAATCCAACCATAGAAAACCATTTGACAGAGCATTAAATAAAGGAAATGATATATCTACATATTTTCAGTTTATTGAATATCACGATCTTTTACTACCATATTCAATTATATTTTGTGAAATTTAAGTGAAGAAATAGATTTCCAGATAGCGCTACTGCAGAAAAAAAACCGTTAAAAACTGAAACAAAAATCTACAACAAGCACATAGAAAAATTCAAGGCTCAGTTGGGAAAGCGTATGGCACGGTATGCTTGAAGGCGCTGGTTCGAATTCAGCCGGATCAAACGAATTTTTCTTAGTGTTCGATCTTTGTATTATTAATTATATCTAGGTACATAAAAAAAAAAAAGGTACATACGTGGCCGAGTTCAAATTACGAGGTGTGCTTATGCTCTTCGGCGGCACGGCGGTTAGTAATATGGGAGCTTGATGAGAAGGTTCCGGGTTCAATTTCCGAATTTAAGAAACGAACATTTCTAAATTAGTTCTGTTCTGGGTATTCTGGGTATTGCCCTCAGAGTTATCGTTATTCTTGTATTCTTAGTACAGGAAATTCCCTAATGAGAAATGGAATTTGATGTGATTGTCTGGCATTTACTACGTCGTGAATAGCACGACATACGCCAGTTTTAGAAACCCCATATCGGCTACTTCATGGTACTGTACTCCAGTACCCATCCAATGCAATGCAACTTGTATATAATTATTTTGGCTGATAATGATTGGCTTTTATCGGTTATTCGCTGTATGTTGACCACATTGAAAAATAGTAATTTTCTAGTTAAAGATAGTAACTTCAGTCGCCTTTTGGTCACCGGAGACTTCAGTATAATTAAGACGGGTATGGCAACCCCCACCTGTTCAGCGTGTCAATGCCTACACTTTGCGTGGTGTGCAGGATTATCACATTATTTATTAAATAATATTATTTAATTTTAAAAAGTTGGTGAGCATTACCCCTTTCCGGTTTTGAAGGTGCTGGTGAAATTACAGGCACACGGGATTTGTCAACTTTTTCTCAGGGTGTCTTGCGCAGTGGCAGTGCCCTTCAGATCTTTTTGATTTAAAGTTCTGAGTGGTGCTGCAACTGTTATGAACAGGTGTGTCGCTTACCATCAAGCACACAACTTGTTCGTCCTATCACTTGATATTATAGAAAAAATCTTTCTTTTAATTAAAAGCTGGCCTCCTAATTAGGACTATATGAGTTCAATTTCCACCGAAGATCATAACCTCATAGCACCACTTAAGCCTTATCGAATATCGCTAATGTTTAAATTATCACTGTCGTTCACGAATCAAGAAACTCATTCTGATAAATCCTGTATGTTGCAGACGGTTCATAACAGCTCTTCGAACACGTGTGTATTCAACAGGAATATCAATCACCTTACTGAAAAATGTACTGTGTCATTTAGTTATTTAATAGTAAAAAAACATTAACTACAGACACGAGCATAACTTAGCAACTTTTTAACGCTAACGAATTGTTGTGTGATGTGTTCGTAGACAAAACCCTTGCCAAGTTTGAGACGAGTGGGTTGATAATTATTTTTTAGTTTTTTATGTGTCTACAGTATGGTATGTGCATACAGGGTGTAATCGTTAAGTGTGCCCAGGCGATTATTCCTTAAATATAAGAGATATCAAAAAGCTTTAAACTGATATGATACAAAAGTATGTTACCTAATGAATAAATCGACATCAATAACTTGTTAAAAATAAAACTAGAAATATCCAACTTTTTAACATTAAACGCTTCCATACATTCGTAGAGAGACTTAGTTTTCCTACTGTAAGAGGTAACAATAAGATAACAGATGACAAAACTGATACAAATAAAGTAATAAAACTATATTTTAATTGAATAAACATACAGTGGCGTAGTAAATTATTTGGTCAAGTGTGAGTTGTCCATAAAAATTAATAAAATTGAACAATTTGTTTTAATACTGATCGACTCAGTTACATGTAAGGATCATTTTATACTATGGGACGAAAAAATCTGGACAGCAGAAGTCGGTCAAATTTAATCAAATGTTTCTTTATATAAATGTCTATAAAATATCTCTTATATTTTTTTAATAATCACCTGGGCACACTTAATGATTACACCCTGTATATGAGTACCGTACAATTTCATGCTACTAGCAAGAACCGAAAGAAGTAACCGCATGCGCATAGACATTTCGTTCCGAGCAAATCTAAACAAAAATTTCAATATGAATAATATACAATGTGTTTATTCTATTATATCTGATTATCGGTATCGTAACCTTTTGTATTGTGAATTCTGTTCTGTTTTCATTCTTTTTCTGTTCAATTTTGCATACGCTGAAACGCAAAAGCGGGTACCTCTTTCAATCTCTTGTATCTATCAATAACCCTCCTTCCAGTATCACTACTATCAACCGATGTTCACTCTAGTAGCGGCCGGCATAAAAAACCCCGACAATGTCTACCGTCCCTTGAAATCAGTGCTACCGAACGATGTCGTATGGTTAAAAGACCATGCCGAAGAGTTTGATCCAGGAAACTGCATGGTGTACACACGGTGCGGAGACAAAATTTGCTATGAATATTTAGTCATAGCTGTCGGTATGGTAAATGAGTACGACCAAGTAAGTGCTACCCTATTCTACTAGCGTTAGGAGAAATCCTAGAACAATTTTGTTGCTGTTCAACGATATCGCATCAACTTCGATGTAGCTTACCTGTGTACTGTATTCAGTGTAAATGATCTGAGATTGTAACGAATTACAATGTAATAGCCCTACAGTATAAGGAAATTAATCAACCGCCAAAAATTACTCAGGAACTTGTAGCAGGGATCCGTCACTCGCTCAAGGTTACACGATAAGTGCCTACCGCTAAGTGCGCCGACGTTGGCGCAAGCGCTCATACAAGTCTTTCATTTATGAGCATTCGGATCATAAATCATATTCGGCAAGCAACGTTATTTTCACCTATCTGAGTGCGTGCTTAGGTTCCTTTTTCCTCGTAGTAAGCGCCTGGTGTCATTAGTCAGATGTGGTAGTCTATTATAGCATAGGTAGGATGTTGTTTGAGAGTTATAAGCATAGTCGCTTTAATCTCGTTCAACATATGACTATCCATCGATCTACGACTTCGCTTATATTAGTAATATTAGTCGATCTATCGTAATTTACGCTGTGCAGATAACAGGTCTGAAAGAAGCTTTAGACCACCCTAACAGCGGTGTAACGACGATATACTCAAAGGACTATATTTGGAAGACCTGGTGCTGTATCAAGTGTCACCAAGGGGGCCATGCGGTGTTTACTTACCCCTGCTCGGGAGGAAAGTGTGCCGGCGCCGCTCAGAAGATTATGTACCTCGCTGACGACTATTGGAGACGGGTAGGTACATAAGATTCTACACTAGCGACTTGCAATTATGAAAACATGCTCATGATTCGACCACAGTGACCATTTTCTTGCTTTATCTTATAAAAACCCGAAATTACAAAAACCACGTACAATATTAAGGAGAAAACCAACCCAGTTACTATAGGATCTAATATGAAAACGTACCCTTCTCAGCTTTATTTTATTCCGAATTATGTTTTAATAATTTAATACCTAATGCATTTCTAGTACAAAATTACGTATTTTTAAAACAACACATTCTGCAAATCATATGTAGCGTAAATTGGAATGTTCTTTGCACACACTCAACATAGTCCCGCACTAGAGAAACCCCTGTTACGCGGGTGCCATGGACACACACATAAACAATCACAAATTACACCCAAACTCACGTGAGAAATAAAGGTAGGCCATACAAATATTTCTCCCTGCCCGAGAATCGAACCTGGGGCAGCATGCGAACCGTTCGGCCACAGAGGCAGTTAATAATAGTTTCATTGGCAATATTGTATATAAATTTTTAATACTGTATATATACTAATAAATATGTTTAAACGTTACAGCACAAGATTCGGCATGCATCGAGCATAACATACAATACTGGTCGCACAGTATTATTCGGGGTGCCCAAGTATGGGACAGCTCTGCGCAAAGTGGCCTGCGATCGAAACATTGCTATCAATTACAATGCAGAACTTGTAGAAGTGAAGCCCCAACACGCGATTTTCTGTATCGGCACTGAAAAGGTAAATATTTGAGTAAGTTGCTGCCGAGTTTCTTAATTTTTTATCACGAGTTTTTTTAAGTTTTAAAGGGGCTTTTATGTAGTATTATCAATACTTACTCAAATTCTTTATTTGCCACGTCACAAGCTCGTAACATTTAGCACGTGATTAGTACAAAATTTTTTATCTTATCAAAGTCATTCACTCCTAACATTTAATGTATTACATAACTAAATTTAAAGATTTACACATAATACATACACAATAAATATTTTAATTTAATAATAATATATTGTTATAAAATAAACTGCATAAATAATAAATTATCAATAGATACACTAAATAATGAACATTTTTGAGAATGAATTTTAATTTTCTTTTTAATCCTTCTTTTGAATTCTAGCTCGGGCAATTCGGATATAGTCGATTATAGTTCATTGTATAATTTAACCTTTAGATAGTAACCTTGCTTAGCAGTTCTTTTCAATCTCGTTTTTGGTACTATCAGTTTATTTTTGTTTCTGGCATTGTTTACTACTTAAATTAGAGCAATACTCGGCATTGCTCTACGTGATCGAATCAGAAATGAGGAGATCCGTAGAAGAAAGAAAGTCACCGACATAGCTCGAAGGATTAACAAGTTGAAGTGGCAGTGGGCAGGGCACATCGCACCCTTAGTAATATAAGGGCACAATCCAAAAAAAGTAGATTTTTGGGAAATCGCGTATTAAGATTCTGGATTCCTACATTACACCTATTTTTTCAAATAACATGCTTATTATTTAAGTTATAAATATGAAATTTGGCAGATTTGTTCTTTGATAAATGTATTATAAATAGCAATAAAAAAAAATATAAATAAATTCCATAAGTTTCAAGCAAGTTAAAAAAACACTTTCAAGTTAGACCCATATAGTACAAAAAATATAACAGAAATATGGAGCTATTTAAGTTTGATCCCATTTATTATTTATCATTTATCAATTCCCAAATTTCCCAAAAATCTACTTTTTTTGGATTGTGCCCTTATATTACTAAGGGTGCGACATAGCTCGTAGAACCGACGGGGCAGAAAGTTTCTCGTATCGTGATAATTTTTAGAAATCATATTTTCACACCGTACACTATTTACTTCATATTTTTACCAAAGTGATTAATTCAACATTTTCACTGTTACGCGAATTTAAAACAAAGCCATTTCAGGTTGTATCGAGTCTTAAGAAACCACTTACGCCCGCCGTCCGATTGCCTAAATTTGCAACCATTTGTCCATCAGATTGCCTAAATTTGCAGCCAAACTTAACACAACATTTTTAGGACGGCTACCAGTTCGTAAACATCCCATACAATCTACTCCACGTAACACCGCCTATGTGTCCGCCGGAGTGTCTACGGAACTGCTCGGCCCTGGTCAACGGGACAGGGTTTCTTGACGTCGACAAACATACGCTACAACATGTGCGGTACAACAACGTGTACGGTCTTGGTGATTGTACCACCACGCCTAATAGCAAAACTGCCTCTGCTATTGGTAAGTATTAAACAATTGACGTGTAGAGCTCCACGTGAAAGAGATCGTCCAGAGAAGTACTGCCACCTTATCTATTTCTGCCGCCAAGCAGTAATGTCAGCAATACTATGTCCCGGTTTTGAAGGGTAAGGGTGCTGGTGAAACTACAGGCACATGGGACTTGGCAGGTTATGTCTCAGGGTGACGGGCGCAGTGGCAATGCGCCTCAGATATTAGAGACCTGAGTGGCACTGAAACTTTTATGGACAGGTGTGTAACTTACCATCAGGCGCACGACGAGTTCGTCCCGTCACTTGATATTATAAAAAAAAACTTCTCCGTCCGACATCCGTCCGGAACAATTACTATGAATTAAGTAATAAGCGAACAAATTTAAAGACTATGATTGTTTTTTAATTTGGTCGAGTATTATTTATTTCACAGCAACTCTTTCGGACGGAGAACGGGAATAGGCGAATCGGACGAAGCGTACAAACGCTCTCGAAATGTTTTCTTCAAATTTAAACGGGACACTACTGAAGTAGGAACCCCGAGTAAGAACGTTCTTTGGTTTTTGTGTTCTAAACTGTAAGGTGTATTTTTAATATTTCGTTTATATCGAAAGTATTTTCTTCCAGGTCCACAAAGTTACGTTGTAGAGCAGAACCTTTGGCAAACTATGAACGGGTGTAAACCAAAAGCTGCGTACAACGGATACGGTTCATGTCCCGTACTGACATCTTACAGGAAAGGCATACTCACTGAGTTCACGTATGACAAAAAACTGGCTGAGACCTTTCCTTTCGACCAGGTACATGGACGCACTCCAGCTTTTCATCTCCCTCTAGAATAATAACAGCGTACAGGGTCAACTAACGCCACGGATATTTTTGTTTTATAATACCAAGTAATGCGACGAACAAGTCGTGCACCTGGTGGTAAGCGACACGTCTGACCATAACAATTGCAGTGCCATTCTGTGTTTTAAATCTGAGGAGCACTGCCACTGCGCTCGTCACCCTGAGACATAAGTACAACTCAACACAGCCCCGCTCTAGGGAAACCATGAACCATACAAACACAAACATGGACACACATATAGACAACACAAATTACACCCAAACTCACGAGAGAAATAACTGTAGGCCGTACAAATATTTCTCCCGGCCCGGGAATCGAACCTGGGACCTCTGCGTGGCAGTCCGGCATGGTAACCATTCGGCCACGGAGGCAGTTAAAAACTGTAACACCGTAATGCTCACATTACTGTTTGTCGGTAAAAATAGGTAAGGTGGCAGTTGTGCCCTGGACGAACTCTTTCACAAGAAGCTCTATTGCTACTAAAAATATTTCTCTAAATAATGTAAAATTATATTTTAATTTATCGAATATCATAATAAAAATGATACTAAGGGTCGTATTCTAGAACTCTACTCGATGCTCAAGTCAGGATTGCAATGGAAACACAAGCATTGGAAATACGACCCTAATGACAAGGACTTGAGTATGATTTCGAGTGCTTTAAACCATACTCAAATCCTGACTTGAGCATTGAGTAGAGTTCTAGAATACGACCCTAAGATCGAACAGATACAAAGTGAAATTCCTTTGATCCGGTTGGACTCGAACCGCAACTGTTTAAAAAAGCTACAGCTTACGAATTTCCCTATGCGCTTGCTACAGACCTTTCTTCTTTCTATTTTTGTATTGGCTTTAATCGGAATTTTTCTTTGTATCTCCCCAAATACAAAGAAAAATTCCAGTATCAGTAATAAAATACAAAGTTCAAACACCAATTATTAACCCATTAAGATTTTTCAAACGTTATAAGTACCTACAGCTGTGGTTAACGCTGGGTGCTAGATGTTCGATTTCCGGTAGTATCTATCAATTTGGAAAACGAACTTTTCTAAATTGGTCATTGGTAAAAGAAAAACTTCAATATAGAGTGCTATGATGTTTCATTTGACAACAGCTTAAATAACAAATTCATAGAAACTGTATTTATATAATGATTTACATATATATATATAACATAAGAAAATACAAGGCCCCGCTCACGACCACCTCGATACAGGCCTTGTAGGTACTCTCGTTCTGCTTCCGACATCCGTCCGAAACAATTAGGTACTGTCAAATAAATAGTACCCGACCAAATACGAGGAGACCAAAAACGCCTTATTCCTATAACCTAAAGTATATTTATTCTATTTTACAGAGCAAAGAGCGCCGGTTTTTCTATTACTTGAAGAACTATTTGTTTCCATACGTGTATTGGAACAAACTCATCAAAGGCAAATGGAACGGACCTCACAAAATCCGTTCTTTACTTAATCCATTCAATAAAGTCACAGGCAATAAATAGAATTTAAATTTGAAACAAAACTATATAGTGTGGTGTTTTGACATACACATATGCACACAAACACATAGGTAAATAAGGGTTGTTTAAAACCGCTCCACAAGCTTGGCAGGACGTAAATTCGACGTATAAGCTTCGTTATTCATTATTTACTATATTTTCGTACAATTAAAATTAATTACATTCCTGTCTACGTACAATCTATTCATGCTAGATTTATATTAAGAACGTTAATGTAATTGTTGTTTTTGTGAACATTCTTTAAGTTGAATTTATTTTTAGTAACAGTACCTACTAAACTACAAGTTAAAATGTAAAAACATTGAAAAAGGGTTGATTTAAATAATTTGAACATTATTGTTGCACTTGAAAAATATATTTAACACGCCGATTTCACGCGGACTTCGGCAACTGTTGAAAAACCATCAAACGGCACTACCGTCGATTTTACGATCGGGGCACATGTCTAAGGACATTGAAAAAAACATAATAACACACACAAATTCATACACATAAATACAAACAGAAGCAGCTGTTTCTAATATAGATGTAATTTTTTAAGTGGAATCTGTAATTATCACACAAATTAATGTAAAAAAGGGTGAAAGATTTAAGAAATTGATCGAAATGCTGTAAAATTACTTATCAACCAATCAGTAAATAAATTATTTCAACATTATTTATTACCAGTTTTTCTTTACAGTTATTACTTTACAACCATTATTACAAAATATATTATTATAAACATTACTCCACCTCCCCGCGAAGTACTAGTTTATGTTGTCACACTATATCTACTTATGTATGGGTATGGTTAATAAATGACAAGTAGACTATAAAATGCATTTAAAAATACGAAATATAAAATATACAATAGATATGTTATACAGTACGTTTCTTAATTATTATAATATATTACATTTGTTTACACAAAAACAGTTTTATGTTTTTGAATATCTTAAATTGAATACTGACTGATTTGTTACTTATAACTACAAAACAAGACAAAAATCAGGATTTTAAAACACCGTTTACACGGGGCCAATCGACGAGTCATTCCATTAAGCCTGGCCATTATTGGCGTCGTGTAAATAGAGACAATCCATTATAAAGAGTCTCCAGACCAGTGATGAAGACAATCCACTAAATTAGAAGAATTTCTATATCTTCGGGTCAATACCTACCACCACCACACGCGCATTGAACTGGGTCGTGTAATGGCCTTATGTGAGCGTGGATTCTGAAATACTCCACCAATTTGCCTTGCCGTTTAGTAAAGAATCTTAAAGAAACTTATAGTCAGTAATACTGGCTGTGTTGTAAATGAAACTTGCGAATTTCGCATTATTCACTAGACTAGGTTAATGGCTTGGTTTTGCGGAATGTCTCGTCAATTGGCCCCGTGTAAATGGGCCATAAGGTTAATTCTTTGCCACGCTAATGGCGTGTTTACATAGGGTCGACTGCCGCCTTTGGTAGATTACTTCGCCTTGCCGAAGGAAGCGCAATAGACTCTCAGTTACACTGAGTCGCCGGAATCATCAAATCATCACGCGTGTGCGTAAATTTGTATTTATAATGATTTTATATCATTTTATTAGTGTGTATATCAATGTTGTGTAGGCACAACAAATTGTTCGAAACGTTCAACAAATTAATCGGGTAAGTAGATGTTCCCCGGCCCCCAGCACGCGCATAATAGTGGAACACGTTTGGTCCACCATCGTAAGCCGAAGGCGATGAAGTTGCATTTAGTCCACTTCGGCATCGAACTTGTCAGTGGTTAGACTGGGTATAGTGTGTCTTTTTTGAAGATGGAGTAAAATGACAGTTCGCAAAAGTGGGCAACACTTTTCCTCGCAAGCAGCTAGTGATGGCAGTCGATAAATATTATGTCGATTATTGACTGAATGTTGGTTACGCTTATGAAATAAATAGCCGCACTTGTCTTATTTGAATCGACATTGGTCTATTATTCTTCCAACTGGTGAGCGCATGTTCATTTGAATAGTTAATTTTTGAAAAATCATAAATACATACACCAAATTTAGAAGAGCGTCTATTAAAAATGCAAATAGGAGACATATTGTAATTTCATTTTCGTTTTTATAAATAATAAAATCCGCCTGTCGTTATTAAAATGTGTATGATTAAAAATTAAGTTTCATTCTAATAGACCAACTGTCAAAACAGGAATAAAGAATGTTTTCGGCGAAATTTTACCTACTTTCACAATTTATCGATAAAACTGTCAACAACAACTAAATGACTATTAAAAATTGTACGCTTTCAGTTGGCAGGCTATGGCGAACTGTCGACCTAGTGTAAACATACATTAATTCTTACAAATATTAACGTATAAATATACGCAAAACGACTATAGGATTCGCTATATACAACAGTATAAGCAGGTTTTCTTAAATCTAGTTTTACCATGATCACTAATCTTTCCCCATCCGCGCAAGTTCTCGTATTAGCTTGTGCGGACGGGACGAACAAGTCGTGCACCTGATGATAAACTACACGCCTGTTCATAACAGTTGCAGTGCCACTCAGTTCTTTAAATCGCAAAGATATAAGGGCACTGCCACTGCGCCTGTCACCCTGAGATATGAGTTGACAAGTCCAATGTGCTTGTAATTTCACTAGCACCCATATCCCTCCCAACCGGAACGCAGTAATGCTCACATTACTGCTTAGCGGCAGAAATAAGTAAGGTGGCAGTAATTCCCTGGACGAGCTTCATAAGGAACTCTACTACCACTAAAATGTGCGTGGTAACCTTTTATTTACATAGGAACATTTCATCAAACAGTCCCCCGTTGGTAGCGTCACATCGTAAAGATCGTCACATAGAGATGAACCGTGTGGAGTATTTATCCTTACAATTTGTAATATGTGATATGTGGATAATGTTGTTGATTGTACGTGTACTTATGTCACTCAACCTCACAACAAATGTAATCATACCATGTACAATTGTTTGTTGTCCCTTGAAAATAAATAAATAAATACAATACACGAATTACTTTTTAAGTATATATTATATTTTGAGTTTCTTAATTATTTGTTATCGTTTTCAGCTGATGGCTCAATAAATAAATAATAAAATAGATGAGCCATGACCGCCGCCGTCATCGAAACTTGTTGAAAGAGGCTTAAGACGCAGTTTTCTCTGATAGCGGTGCCGTCATCTAGCTTTCATGTTACTGGGGTAGATAACATCACAAATATGGCGGCTTCGCTATTTGAATTGCGATCCTATTTAACATTCTCAAGCTATACGTCATTTATTTACATACACCACATTTTTATAACTTCTTGTAAGCGTAACAGCCGCGAGATGACGGCATCCATATCCTAGAAAAATTTATCTTTACTTTGAACCATCAAATAAAAATTACAGTAGGATATCACAAGGCACTAATCCCCGAACACCGAATGTAGGCACACGTGTTTGATGAATTTAACAGCATTTATTACAGTATTAATACCTTCACATTCTGTTTAAAGCAGAAAATTGTTCCTTATGTAGTTCGCAAGAATTTTTAGAATCACGCAAACTTTGACGTTTTCTTTTCAACGCAGCCTGACGAAGCCTGTACCGTTTTCTGTTCCTGATTAGGTACACTATAAGTACTACAATTACCAGAAGTCCTACGACAATGATTCCGACTAAAACGAGAGTTAGTGATGATACCTTTTGCCCGCTTCCTACGTCCAACTGAAAAAATAAATAGTACAATGTAAACACAAGGTCCAGCATTCAGCAGCAATAGTAGCTTATTTATATCACGTGTTTATGCAACTTGAAATCTAAGTTTAATAGGAAATTATACTGTTTTTTCGGATCTAAGTCGCGTATATTTGTTGTGGGGTCACCCGTGACCATGGGACCTGTAAAACGCCCCTTGGTTTGTTTGTAAACAACATTTCTAAAATATAAACGAACACATTATTTTTTATAATACCAAGTGACGAGACAAACAAGTCGTGCGCCTGGTGGTAAGCGACACGCCTGTCCATAACAGTTGCAGTGCCACTCAGAGCTTTAAATTGTAAAAATCTTAGAGGAACTGCCACTGCGCTCGTCACCCTGAGAAATAAGTTGACGAGTCTCATGTGCCGGAAATTTCACCGGCACCCTTACCCTTCCAAACCGGAACGCAGTAACGCTCATACTACTGCTTGGCGGCAGAAATAGGTAAGGCCTGCCGACTTCCCAGTCTTCACCACTTTTACACATCTAATGTACAAATTAATAGACTGTCTAGGAAACCCAAGAGCAGGCAGCTATCTCGCCCAACATATTAGCATAGCAGTACAATGGGCACCTTGCCGAGGGAACCAAATTTTATTCATATAATTTAATTCTAGCATTTATTGAATTTATTGTAGCAATTTATTTTAACTTATTGTCTAATAAACGTATTTTTTGTATTAATTATTTTAGTATGCAGTGAATTTCTATTTCGTTCTAGAAGGAAAGAATACTAAGTCTGATCTTCCTATAATATCGGACTAGGATAATTATCCTACGACTAATGATAATGAACAAAAATTTAAAAAAAATTATGCACACTTACCAAAAAATTATCACTTGGTCCATCACACATGGCTTTTTCAGTCCAGTTGTAGAAATGTACCAAGCGGAGACCCTCGTATCCACGGGGCGAATGGCACCTGAAAAAAAAACATACCATTTAGCGCTACCTACTGACTTCCTACCTTCTAGAACCTTAGAATAATAACGCATAGAATGATAGTTTCATATCAAACGAACTGTCACAAGTGAGGCAAAAACCAAATTCATGTAGGCGTAAGCAACTTGTAACTACGCTCGTCGGCACGCACACAAATATACAAATAATGATGCCATGGAATAACATTTCCCTCAAAAGTGGGGAAATTGTATCTTGCTTAACTCATCATTAAGTTAAAGGTGCCTACAGATTTGCCCGACATTGTCGATCAGGTGCCTACAGATATGCTCGGTTTTGTCGATGAAAAACGAATATAGCACTTATTTGTAAATCCAAGATGGCGGACACGATTTTTCAAAATATGCTATATGGGTATCCTTTTCGAGGTATTTGGGGATGCTCATTACGAATATGGCACTCATTTCTAAATCCAAGATGGCGGACACGAGTTT